CGAAAAACCGCGCCGGCTCTGTCTTCGCGAGATCCGCCCAATGTTTACCCTATCGTGGTTCCTACTACCCCTGGCGAAGAGTATTTGAATGCCTTTCGAAACGTGTTAACTTTTCTTTTGAAATTCGACTGAACGATATGAATTTTTTTTTTAATTTTTCGACAATGTCGCATTGGTGTTGTTCAAGATTTTCAGGCCATTTTTAAATTGCACTTTTCGTCTTAAATGCGCGAAATCGACAGTCTAATTATTACTAATAAGTGTCTAATTATTACCAATAGCTGTCATTTTTTTATATTTATTTTCCTATTTGTGCAAGAATAATACTATAATAATGGCTAATACTGAAATTCAAGAATTACAAATTGAATTCTATGAAATGTTAATTAGTTTATCTTGGTTTATCTCGAAGGTTCTGCAACCGCATTGTTATAAAATCTGATATTTCACAGTACTAATCAACTTTCTAATGAAAATCCTAAATCAGACGTGAAATATTGCAATCATGATCATGTAAACATTGCAGTAGAATACGCCAAATCTCGAAAATTTAATGCAGCAACAGAGTTTTCTTTTCTTTGGAATATTATCGTTATAAAATCTGTCACTTCACGGTACTGATCAATTTTTCAGTTAAAATCTTCATCTATAAATGAAATATAAAACCCCAGGCAAAAAGTGCATTCGAACATCTTTTAAAACGATATAATTTTTTGCAAACTAGACTGAATGACTAGAATTTTTTTTAAATTCTTTGAAAATGTCACATTCGTGTTTTTAAAGTATTCTAGTTTATTTATTACTGATAAATGTAATTTATTATATTTATTTTTGTACTCGTAAAAGAATAGTGCACAAAAATGACTGATGCTGAAATAGAAGAAACAGTAAATGCATTTCATTTATGAATGAAGATTTTAATGAAAAATTAATTAGTACTGTAAAATAAGAGATTTTACAGTGATAAAGTTATAAAATGTTTGAGAAAAAGATACTATTGTTTCAACATACGAGTTGCCATTTTATACAATGCATTTACCGTTTCTTTTATTTCAGCATTAGCCATTTTTGTGCACTATTCTTTCACGAATAGAAAAATAAATATAATAAATTACACTTATTAGTAATAATCAGACTGCGAATTTTACACATTTATGAGAAAAATGTGCAAGTACAATTTAAAAGACTGAAAGACTTTAAGAACACAAATGTGATATTTTCAACTCATTAAAACGTTCAAAGAAAGAAAGTGATCCGCGGTCTAGTAACAATGCGGCAACATTTATCAATGATGCAATAGCGCAACGTCACATTAACGGTATTTAATAAAACCGTATTTGGTAACAAGATGAATGAACATCGTCGATGGTACGAGAAATTCAAAGTTGCAGATGGCAATCTCATGAATGAAGAACGTAACGACCGGGACGTTCAAGTTCTATCGCGACGAAATGGAAGCCATTGAAGTAGAAGGACTCGCGATTGCGGTAGAAGGAATTCATTGACAAGATCTGTGTGATAGCAATGATCTATTTAAGAGGAAACAGACCGTTCTATAAATAAAAGCTGCAACCCTGCTGCGTTTAGTAAAATGGATCTAACGTTGAATTCCTGTTGAGTAACGTTGAGTTCCCCTGTGGCAGTGGCACACTCGAAAAGAAAAACAACTTACGTAAGTCGTGGCAGTGATTTCACTCTTTGAAACGTGTGTCTATGCAAATCTGAAATCTGATTTTCGTTCTGGGAAGTAGCAATAACTCGAATATCGACGATACAATTTTGAAATATCTTGCTAAAAAATATTGATCGAACCGCGGAACCGACAAATCTAGCTACAATTATTGCTCGAATCATCCCGCGATTAGGCTCAACGCGGTGTCTGTAATGACATGATCTTGAAAAAAGCGGAGAATTCTGTGAAAGAGATAAGGATTCTTACAAATACTGCCAAGTAACAGTACAGTGAAGTACTGTAACGCAGTGCCGAGTCGGAAATAATAAATGAAGCCCGTATATTCAAGTCCGACGAGTAATGAATCGATGATAATGATCTCGTTGAATTACAAGTAGCATGGATAACGCAACTTCTATATATATACATCTACTGCGTACATTTGTGACGCGCGTGTAACTGATTTATAGCTTCTTCACCAAAAACAGGGACAAGAAATTGTATCCCTGCGGTTCGTTGCTCATTTTTCCTTCATTTGCTTGCATTGAAACAGAGGTTGTGTGCATACCATTCTAATTACATGAATCTCACGATGAAGATTCTTGTTTTTATCATAGCGTTCGACACTGATTTACCGAGTTCTGAAAGCGACCAACGTGTGAGGCTTTATAAAAATCGCGAGATTGAATTTATTTACATCTTTTTGCTATTTTTATTGCGATATTATCCTCGGTGAAAGGATTTTATTCAATCGCTTTTTGAGAAAGAGTCTTCATAATTTAGACAATTTGAAGGAAATAATTTTCAAAAAAAACATTTCGATTTAGAACGTTGTTGGAATTTCTTAGAAATTCTTTTGTGCACTTATGAAGTTGTGATAAAAAATAGGGAGATGAAATTTCAAAAAATGAAAGTGTTAAAAGAATTTGTAAACATCTATGTATCGTTTTCAACTGACTAAAATTATTGAGGAAAGGCAAACATTTCTCCTTGAAATATGTAGCTAATTTTGTATGAAAATTCTCGTTTTCACGAATTGTTTTATAATAATCGAAAGAAGGAGTTTTAATTTTCGTTAATATGCGCTTGCATTTATACATTAAGTTCTTCAGTTTAGTAATAATAATATAGAAGACGAATTGATATGAATATAGACGAATTGATTTTTCGTGTACACAATATGCAAACTTCCAAAATTTCGGTGTCAAAAACTGCAAAATTTGGATAGCAAATGGCACTGTATTTACGAGTCTCAATACAACACAGTTTATAGCATTTTAGGCTCGTAATCTATTTGCAGTGTTAAAAACTCAAACATCGTACCACCGGGGTCTCAAAAATTCGCAATTTTGCAGAAGAATGGCGGACCAGCGAGAATGTAAACGAAATGGAGTGTGAACAAACAGCGGTTCGAGAAGAGTTATGGCTGCGCGCGTCTCTGCAGAAAAAGAGAGTCTCCATAAAAGATCAATGAAAGTCAACAACGATCTCGATATTTCGACACGCAGGCGATTATTCAGTATTTGTACCGGGAAAGCAACGCGTGAATCTGTTCGCAAATCCATTAATGTAAAGATGAAAGGACCTTTGCGGAAGAAAACAGTCGCGAACGACCGATTTCCCAAGCACAGTTGCGAAGCTGTTGACTGTTCGGCTCGTATTTCGAAAATGATGTTTGAAATCATTTTTATTCTGTTTAATAATATTTAAGAAAATTTTGTTCGGACTGTTTAAGAAAAATTTGTTCGGACATCGTTTACACAATGTCGAGAAATAAGTCTGTGTAATCGGAGACTTTTGCCCGTAAGAAAACAATTTTCGTGACTTCGATAACGTCGCCATGCAATGTTGTCAATTAAAGTCACGTTCGTCATAAAAATATGATGATTGAGAAACGGAATTGCAATTATTGGAGAGCAGAATGTAGCTAAATGAAAGATTCGTTTTTGTCACGAGACGATGGTCAAACTCAATGAAACCTTACCGGAATTTTCGACTTTGGATAATTTGGAAGGTAGACGCCACGCTAATTAACAACGTGGAAATTATGGAAAGATTTCTAATCTCTGATAGACAAAAATTGCATCTGCTAGTAAACCAGAGGAAAAATATACAAGTTGTCCAATAATTATGTTAACAGCCTGAAAGAGGTGATTCCTGAGGACATTTGAAGCAACTTTTTCCTTAGCGAAAATGCAATCCGCGGCTTTGTTTACGAGTTATTAATGAACAAACGCTGACCAATGAGAGGCGAGATCAGCTGGCGCGAGGCGGCGGAGCCAATGAGCGGAAGTGGGATTCGTACGCTCGTTGGCTCGACCACGTTGCGTCTAGTCGAGCTCGCCTCTCATTGGTCACTGTTTTTCGTTAATAACTCGTGAACGAAGCCTCGTAGAACATTTTCGCTAAGGAAAAATTTACTTCAAATAACCTCAGGAATCATCCCACATAATTATGGGACACCCTATAAAATGAATGAGTTGCATCTGTTAATACTAGAACGGAGGCCCATTTTTGACAGAAATATAAACGAGTATAAATATTCCCGACATTGTTTAACAATTTCAAGGTACCATTAGACACGTTAATTTTTCTATAAATATTAAAAAATGCGAAGGTTTCGATTAATTATCAGGATTCAGGCATTGTCAAACAACTATAGCGTTAAACAATTTCAATCCGATTTCATTAAAATCTTTCTAAACAACAGATAAAAGTTCGTAGAAATGTTTTCTTTCTATCATACACAAGTTTCTTAATTTTTATTGAAATGTTCTGTTTAACCCTCGGATAACGGAACAACTATACAATTGACGATGACTCTAATAATCCTCCGCTTTATCCATTAATTTTTCAGAACATATTTTCGAAGATCCTTCTTGTAGATCACTCTAATCCGTTGTTCCTAGCGATTTATCTAATTTGATTTCTGCAGGTTGAGTGATTAGGCGACGATCGGGTCAAAACGGCTCGGTGATCGCGATGAAAAGACAAATCGAGCGCATCGAACGAATTACAAGTTTCGCGAATTTATAAGCATTCGCGATTACGAGCAGAAAATACAATTCGGCGAGCGGAACGCGGTCGAGAATCCGGCGACAGGTCCCTCGGATGAATTTTTCCCCGAAAGAAGAGAAACGAGATGGATGATTCGGTTCGCACGTACCTTGAATGTGCTGACAGATGTATTTTAGGTATAATATGTATGTATATGTATATATGGATACATATGTGGGGGTGGAGAGAGAGAGACAGAGAAAGACAGAGATAATGTTCGCGCACGTGTGATATGTGAAAGAGTGACAGAAACAGAGTACAGACAACTTACGGGTGTAGGTCATTTGGCCCTGGTAGTAAGAAGGAAGGTACACGTGTTGCGCGTGTGGAGGCTGCCCGTACACATTCATGGCTGCCATGCCGATTTCATCACCACCTACATCGTACGCCGTCGAGTAAGGTAATTTTTCTCATCAAAATGCTAGTTTCGCACCATAAACACTGTTTCTAAATTTCGCTATCACTGGGTTGTTAGACAGTTAGGCGGTCTAGGTTGTTTCAAGCCGGGTCTACATTATGCGATACCATTCAATGGTCCCTAAGCGGTGCCATAAGTGGTAATCATTAGGACCTTTTCGTCTGCTTGACCGGTTCACGAAAAAAATACATGTCTTTTCTACAATCGTTCGACTACAGATTTTACGCATTTGCTACTAGATTGCAGATTTTATGCATTTATGATCACACTGCAGATTTTATTCGTTTATAATTATACTGCAGATTGTATTCATTTATAATTATACCGCAGGTTTTATTCATTTACAACTATACCGCAGATTTTATTCATTTACGATTAGAAATTTGATATCATTGTAAACATAACGCGATCACGCACGAGTTATTACACTATAATGTATAATGATCTAATGATCTAATGATCTGATAATCTTATAATCATGTAAGTTAGTCATTATGTCACAGCATACTGTCAACTTTAATCATAATTCTGTAAGAGAATTGCCTGTAAATGCCCAAAGACAATAAAAGAAATTATGATTAATTTTATTGGGCTTTTATGCAAAATATAGATTGTCTGCACTAATTTGAAAAAACAGGAGGTAGTACAGAGATATTTATGTCTATCCTTAACGATTTTGAGGAATTGAGATTAGTGCAAAAATATATTTCAATTTCTTAAACCGTTTTCAATGTTTCACATTTGATCTGACCATTTTTCTCATAAATGCATAAAATATGCAGTCTATTTATGAAAGCACATGTACAAATGTGATTCAAAGCAGTAGAGAGACTAAATGAATTTAAAAATGTCAATGTGCTAATTAAAGTTTATTAAAATTGTTAAACGTAGAATAAAACTTTTTGGCTTCTACTCTTTGCAATCCATGTATACAATTTTTCTTTTGCATAAAGATCTGCAGTTCAATGGTCATAATAAGCAGGATCATAGCGATTGAGGATCTTTATACAAAATTAAAATTGTCTACCTCAGTTGTAGGAAACGGATTTGAAATAAAAATTGATTCTCTTCATTGATCACTTTCCTATGTTAAAAATAATCTAACAGTGCCTTCAAGTCTTCTAATGTCACTTCTGCCATAAATGCGTAAAATCCACAATCAAATAATAAGCGAAGAATCGTAGTTCTTAGAAAAATTATCCTGTCAATTAAAAGTTAAATGATTACACTGACAAAATCTTAGTTCTTCTTTCAATGCTTCCGTTGCTTTTCCATTGCTATACCTACATGCCGACAGCAAGTTTGATTTTTTCCTGGCATAAAATTTCCTGAACATTGTTGAAACATGGGCAAAAATGTACAGAAAACCCTACAACAAAAAGCGTCGCTCTCGTGCAATAAAAAACAGCTGCAAAGCCTAACATTTATTCTATAAATATTGCTTTCGTCTCATACATGAAAAGATTATGAATGAAAATAGCGGATAAATATACCGTTCAAGTGGTAAAGCGTGAAAACAGAGATTCTTCTTGCTGGAGCGGTTTCATATCGGACGTTTCACGCCCGCGTTTCGATTTATTCTTAAACAGGCAGAGAAGTTACGGGGCACGAGACGTATGAATTAAACATGTATTCTTTTCGATTTCTTCGCGCTGCTCGCGTAAGCATTCGCGTGCGCGATTTGACGGCTCGTTGATACTTTCCGCGCGCGTTATTCTCATAAAATCGAGCGTTCACAGATTGCGGCGGCACACAGCGATGTAGACCCGGCGTTTAGCGTAGTGGAAAATAAGCACGGTTTGTTCGTTTGCTACGAATTTGTTCGTTAGTTCGACGTGGTTCAGTTAGTTCGACACTTTCTCTGTCTTTAACGCGAACGAAACGATCGATTAAGACAAATGGAATCGATTATGTTCTAGTTGCATAACATCAAATACTATTAGCATTCGTAACAAATTGTTTAAAAAGTTACCACAAGACAAGAAGAATTATCTCATTAACAAAGCCGATGCATGGTATTTTTTTTTCTAGAATGAGTTCGAGCATGATTACAACGAGTGAAAAATTGAACTTTTCTCACAATCGTACGTCATTCAATGAATCAAAAGGGAACTAAAACTATAGTCGTACCGTGAGCAAACAAACAAACCTGACAAATGAATCTCTGATCGTGATTAAAACTTGGACCCACCTATCGAATATAAACGAAGGAAGAAATGCGTTCTACAGCATATGTAATAATCGCATCGCTATAACAAGTCTTACACAGATAACTATGAAATACCAAACGAATATTACTCGAGAATAATATTTCTCACGTATCTGGGATCGCTATTACCTGTGTAAGCAGGCGACTACGTTACTGGTGTGCGGCGTTATCTGGCCTCTAGATCATTGTTCTCTATCGAGACACGAAAGGCTAGACCGTTTCGAGACAGCTTTGTTCTCTTACTGTGTTCTCTGTATATAGGTCTAACAGTACTATGATAGGAAAGTTAAGTACATATTCCTCGACGTTAGCAACAACCCAGTGAACATACTCTAAACGCATGCTCTTGCGAAACGAATGGAACATAAATGCAACAAGGCAAGCAAATAATATCACCATCTAGCACTTGGACTTTCGTTGGAGAATTTGCCTCAACGGTATCTACGGTCCTCGCGGTATAGTCTTCGTTAAACATTTATCGGGACCGTTTGTGCTCGTTGCCCGAAAAATCGGTCGGATCGTTACGATTCGTAGGGTTCGACGCTAATTAAATGGCTGGTGGCCGTCAAGCAGGACTCCAATAAAGATTTTCAATCGTTTCTGCAGTTATGCCCTAACTGCGTGCAGTCACAAGTCGTCATTGGTACAGCAAATTCTCCTTAATTGACGCTCAGCTTGTAAACAAAAGTGGACAATTTGGGAAGGGGAGATGCGATTATTCGAGCGGCTTGTTTCTATAGCTGCCGATTGCCAACATTTATAAAAATCAGACGCAAGCTTTGGATAATCGTATCTCCTCTCCCCAAATTGTGCATTTTTGTTTGCAAGCCGAAGGAAAATTAGGGAGAATTCACTGCAATTCGGACTGCGGATTCGATGCACGTTGCAACGTGCTTTAAATAGACGAAAAATCAAGAATAGCACAATCTGTTCAAGAATTTAGGAATGCAGTAATTTCTCCCTAATTCGTGCTCGGATCGTGCACAAAAATGGACAATTTGCGTCTCGTTTTTATAGTTATTAACAGTCGGTAACTATAAAAAGCGAGCCGCGAGGCTCGAATAATCGAATTGGGGAGAAATTACTGTACTTTTCGAACGCAACTTTTCACTTCGCTTTAAAAATCCGCAGTCCAGCGATCACCAAAGTGTAATTACACTGAATGTGCCACTATAACGTGGATATCTGATTTGGTAGCTTCCAGTGCAATCGAAACTGGAGGACCGTATAGAACTGCAGCTTTCCATGCAATGTTTCGAAAGTGGACGTTCCCGGAACGAAACGCCCCGCGTTACAATATTTTTTCGTGTTCAATCGGTGGCGCGAAACGCTCGCAGAGAGCTTTGCCATAGAACTTTAGGTGGTAGATATCTCGAGCAAGCGTGTCCGCCAAGTTAAGATTTCTCATTAGGTGGTTTCATGCAAGAACGCCTAATAAGTGGTGAACATCGATCGGTAGAGTCCGGACGGTCTAATCTAGGAACACTAAGAGGCTGTTACGACTATAAGAAGCGCATCACAGAAGCCGAATCGCATCGCAACCATATCCGCAGACTTGCTACTGCCTATTTCTATGGTATTATGCCTAGTATCCTAGTGAGACGACTGCCTACGTTAGCTAGTACTTCACCTTAAACGTAAGTATTATATAGGAAACATTAAGTTAGAGAACAAACAATGTGAGAAAGATATCGTGATAGAATGTCAAGCGGACGAGGGAGGAGCACTTACCGCCTTCGTCCTCGCTGTCGCTCATGAACGTTTCTTGCATCGACTCCGGGGCCTGGACTTTGTATTTCTCTTCGATGGTGATCGTGTGGGTGGTTGTGATTACGGTTTCGGTGACTACTTTCAGAGTCTCGATGACGCTGATGTAGCCGAGCTTTTGTGCTATGTCCAACGCCGTCTGGCCATTCTGTGAAAACGAAGATATTTTCTGACTAGGATCCCGATCGTATGGTTTTCAATATTTTCATAAAGGTCGACGAATCTTCGAACGGTTCGCTTACATTGGTCGTAGTGTTCGGCTTGGCTTTGCCCTCCAACAATAAATTAATTACTAGCGTGTGCCCCTGCTGCGCAGCTTGGTGCAACGGTGTGTATCCTGCGTTTGTACTACTGTCTACGGCTGCACCAGATCGCAAGAGGAATCGGACCATAGCCGCTTGGCCAAAGTGAGCTGCCACGTGCAATGGAGTATAGCCGGCCTGGAACGAGAACGATTGACTCTTATCAGGAACTTGAAAATCTTAACACTATAATGCTTGAAAAAGATTATTAACTCAAGTGGAACTGGTAATTTAATTTCTTAAGTCGCGAGAAAATGAAACACAGACTGATAGAGGAAGGGCTGTAAACTTGGAAATATACCTTTGTTTTAGCATCGATCTGAGCACCATTTTTAACAAGAATGGAGGCGACATTGACTTTATCCTCTTGTGCGCACAAGTGAAGCGGCGTGAGGCCATTCTGCAATTAATAAATGTTGTTTAACAGGATGCCATGAACACGTTGACTGCCGAGCGACGCGAGATAGCTCGTCTTGATTTAAAAATTGGACTTTGAATCGGCAGTCAAAGTGTTCGGAAGTTGGAATTGCGACTGTACTTTTGCTTTGTGATTTGTATCTGCTTTGTGCTCGATAAGAAGCGTTGACATATCGGTGTGGCCCTCCTGCGCGCTCAAATGTAGCGGCGTAAATCCTGCTTTCGATTCTGCGTTCGCTTTCGCTCCGTATTCTAATAAAGTGGTCGCGATGTCCATCTACGATCGAACAGAGAACAACGTTGGTTTTAAGTATCGCGATGACATTAATTTACTATTGTCTGGTCTCCGATGCCACCGTTCGTACACCGCTTACCTGATTCTTGCGTGCGGCAATATGTAGCGGGGTGTGACCATTTTTGGCCATAGCATGAGGCGACGCGCCCTTATCGAGCAAAAGTAACGCTACATTCTGATGATCGTAATGAGATGCCACGTGAAGCGGGGTCACTCCGTTCTGCGTTCGAGCGACAGGTTTAGTATTTTATTAAAGCACTATCTAACGTTAACACATCGCATGCCACATGGACTATCGGATTTTTTAATCGATCTAACACGCAACTCATTGTAACGCATAACGATTAAACTGCGAATCATTGTGCACGTTTTAATACGATTTTCTAAGGCGGCCAAGAATATTTGAAAAAAAAAATCAAGCATCGTTAAAAGAGAAGCGAACAAATTTGCTGCATCTTGCAACGATTGCGATTGCAACGATTGCGGAACATTTTCATTTCGCGCAAAGATTCGCAGTCTAATGATGATCCACGTGGCCCGAATGAAGGATTGAACGAACAATCCATCTCTCACCTTTCCTTGAGCGTCAACCGGCGCATCCTTCTGCAACAATAGTCTCGCGACATTCATATTACCGTATTTAGCTGCCAAATGCAACGGAGTGAATCCCTTTTTGGTCGTCGCGGTAAGCGATGCGCCGTTTTCCAACAATACGGAGGCAACCTGCAAGTTCGTATTACGATTGTAATTAGCGGTCGTCAGGCGAAGAGTCGTTAGCAGCTAAATAATTGCAGCGGAAACGGAAAAGTCGCGTGGACTGTATTTTACGGATAAATAGGATTATATAAATAGGACTGTATTTTATAGGTTTGTCTCTTTCTCTGAGATATTTATGCGCAGACTTTCGCGACTGTCAACAGTGTCAAATATTATTGTGGGGATACGTGCCTCCTCCTGGCCCTCTTTGGCAGCGATATGAAGCGGCGTGTATAAATCTTTTGTGGTAGCATCGATATCTGCACCGTGTTGTAGTAATAGCATTACAATGTCAACGTTACCCAATCGGGAAGCAACGTGTAGAGGTGTTTGCTCTTCCTGCAACGTTTAGGCGACATTCAGGCAATGATTTTTCATAACAATATATGATGTATGCTCGTAAAATCGATCTATTAAAGAAAACGGTGAACAGAAGGAAAAAGGTATTAAAAATATATTTTGATCATTACCCGTGCTCTCGCGTCAACTTGGGCACCATTTCTAAGAAGTATCCTGATAATATCAGTCTGATTCGCTCTGGCAGCTAAATGCAAAGGCGTTTCGCCCCTTACAGTTGGTATATCAGGACTAGCTGCATGTTGCAATAAATAAATCACTATGTTCATGCACCCCATAAAACTCGCTACGTGTAGGGGCGTCAATCCAGACTAAGCAATAAAAATAAACCTGTTATTACTAAGAAATCATAACATCGTACTATTTATATAAAAGAAATTCATTATTCTTAACCCTTTGCGCTCGAGTGGCGACTCTTAGGTGACGCGAGAAATTGCTGGACTGTTTTCAAAAAAATGTTCACATTATCGAATACGTCTGTATTCGATAAATTGTATCAAATAAAAACAATCGTATCAAATGGAAATGTTGTAAGTTGAAGAGAATGTCTTCATTTTGGAGCAGTTTCGGGCGCGAAGGGTTAATAGTCTCCCTTCTCTATGTGGACACTATTATGTATATCATTGAGTCAACTCTAGAACAGTATACTGGCAAAAGAAATCTGTTCGAGACGGGCCCGATAGAATATTTTTGTCAGTATGTCATTTTAAAGCTGAACAATTCGGCCGAGGCGAATATAGTGTGAACAACTATGTATTAGTTTGAATAATATCTATGATGTAACTCACTAGAGCTACTGGAGATGAATACGTGAACGCGTATAAATACCTCTGTAGTAGCCTCGATGCTAGCTTTGTGCTTTAAAAGGAGCTCAACGACCTTCAGTCTGTTCTTCTTACAGGCAATATGGAGTGGAGTGAAGCCGTTTAGAGCCCGTGCGTTTGGATCGGCATTTCTATCGAGCAGAAGTTTAGCGACTCGTACGTGCCCGCAATGGGCTGCCACGTGTAGCGCCGTCAAGTAATCTACTGTCACTTCGTCTACGGGCGCACGATGATACAATAATATCCTCGCAGCGTCAACATGATCTCCTTGGGAAGCCATGTGCAACGGGGCAAGACCGTTCTGTCAACAGAAAACAACGGGTCAGCCGATACAGTCCCCCCGCCCGGAAAGAGGCCGCATTTTACCTGCCCGTCGCAAGTGCATACCACGGCGGACCTTCGACTCACCTTCGTTTTCGAGCCGATCGGTGCACCCTTCTCTATCAAAATGTCGACTACCTCGTGGTGACCCGACCGCGCCGCGCAATGAAGTGGTGTGAGGCCGTCTCTCGTTTTCGCTTCGATGTTCGCTCCCTTGCTCATCAAAAGATTCACCATCTTGATTTTGCCCCATTTCGCCGCAACGTGCATCGGCGTTATATTGTGCTGTCGATGCAAAAACGATATGCGGTTAGGCGTACAGAGATCGTCGCATTTCTCGGTGCCTCTCCGGCTTTACTTCGCGGATCGTTCAATAAAAGATGAGAAGTTGCAGCACTTCTCTTTTTCGCGGGAATAGAAAGTCCGAAGATGACCGAATCGAGCGAGACTTAGCTACTCAATCTTTAAACGGTTATGGAGTTCTCGATTCTTGACCGTATTTAAATGAAGCTGCTACGAGCTACTCGATTTTTATTCGTGCTCGGATCAAGCTGTTACAAGATTCATGTTTCGTGGAAGTTACGGCAAGTTATTCTTACTTTTATTCGTGTTCGAACGAAGACTATTGCAAGTCGTTCAATTTTCATTTAATTTCGAACGGAGCTATTACATGTCCCTCAGTTTTCCTTCTCGGGCTACCCAATTCTTGTACATTTTAAAATGAAGCTATCGCAAGATTCGTGTTTGACGAAGTCGTTGCAAGTTACATAATTCTTATTCACGTTTGAGCGGAACTGTTACAAGTCATACAATTTTTATGTAATTCAAAATGGAGCTATTACATGTCCCGCAATTTTCATTCGCGTTTGTTCGTGTTTAAATAATTTTCGAATATATTAAAATAATGATAATATAATTTAATAATTATTATATAATTTTAAATAATTTTCACTCGTGTTTGAACGAAGCTGTTACAACTCTCATGCTCGATACAGTTATTGCGAGTTACCTAATTTTTATTCACGTTTGAACTATTCATTCAATTTTCATTCAAGTTTGAATAATTAACGGCTCACTCAATTTCTATTAATCTTAAATTATCATCGTTGCGAATTACGTGGTTTGAAATCATTCCAAAGGATCCTCGACCCTGTTTTATGGTGAAAACAACTTGCCTTTGCAGCAAAATTAACATCGGCCCCTCTGTCGTAAAGCAAGGAAGCAATTCGGTCGTTGCCATAGTGAGCAGCTATGTGGAGCGGCGTGAAACCGCTCTTCGATGTTACGTCGGGATTGTGATCGTTCTACAACAGAAAATCGAGGCGATGGAATCATAAGCATCCGTTTTCGGTGGCGATACAGCGCCGGATTGCATGTAGGACCTCGGTAACGAATTGTTGCGACATACTTGTAAAAGTAGGGCAGCCGCTTTGCAATCGTCTTTCTTGGCAGCAATGTGGAGGGCAGGCAATCGAACTTTACCACGAGTGTCATTTTCCAATAGAACCGCCACCACCTTGTCGTGGCCCTGTTGCATCGCTACTGCTAGTGGGGTGAAGCCATCCTGCAAACATTCATCAAAATCGGTTAACATGAATTCTCATATCCATCCTGCAATGTGCTTTGGGCGTTACCAATGGTACTTCCTTCCATGACTATGGCATTTTTTAAACTTATTTTGAATATTTTCATTTATAGTATTGAACCATACAGCTAGAAGTATGTATCATTTTATAATAATTTATCTAACTTACAATGGTACTCTAGAAATTTGTAATGGTAATTTCTTTCAAGACTACCGAATTTCTTTAACTTAGTTTGGATATTTTCATTTATAGTATTGAACCATATAGCTAGAGAAGTATTTACCATTTCATAATATTTTATCAAGCTTACAATGCTACCCTGGGAACCTCTAATGATAACTTCTTCCATAAGTATAGCATTTCTTTAACTTATTTTGAATATTTTCACTCATAGAATGAAATTTATATATAGAATATTTTCATTTATATATCTAGAATTTACCATATCAATACCCTGGAAACTAACTTCTTTCATGACTATCAAATTTCTTTCATTTATTTTGAATATTTTCATTTATAAACTTGAACCATGTAACTAGAAATTTTTACCACACTATGATACCTTCATTCATGACTGAGCACTTTCTTTAACTTATTTTGAACATTTGGATTCATAGACTTGAACTAGAAAGGTTTAACTTTACACACATTTACCTAGACACAAGTATAATAACATTATTTTCTAGTCATCGAAGTAACTTCCATTTTATTAGCTAGGGTCCCAGGATTATCTTTCACAAGAAACCGATTATTTGAAATTGTTTGCTGTATCGACGGGCTGTAGAAATGTGTACCAAATGCATTTCTCTCAATATTTGAGCGAAGCGATAAGGAATGAATGATATCTACGAACCTCGGTGGCCAATGTTTGATTAGCGCCTTTACTCAAAAGGTATTTGACTACCGAATCATGATTTTCCTGTGCGGCCATATACAGTGGCGTGAACCCATTTTGTGACTGTGCATTTACAGAAGCACCTCGTTGTACGAGCAATTGTACCACCTCCTCCTGTCCAGCTGCAACAAGAAACGCCGTAAACGTTTATCTCGAGCCTTAAATTTTCATCATTTAAAAACTAGAAGCAGAGTAATTATAATTGCTAGTTCTATCATTATCATATTGCGGATCTTTATGAAAATTCTTATCTTCGCGCGTTCTTTCGAATTGATCAGAAATAAAAAGAAAAACTCTCTTGGTCGATTAAAACATTACTGATTACAAAAAGAAAAGAAAAATGCCATTGTATCATAATAATTTATAAATTTTCTTGCATTTTAAAACTGTTTGCACGTCGTAAATGCATAAAGACACAAATGCGTATTCGTTAGACTAGATTGCTTGCACAATTTTTCGAGATTTCCTGTGCCAGAATACAATTCGTTTCCTAAAGATCCACAGTCTAATTAACACAATGACCTTGTCCCATATACAAAGAGAAGATTCTGAACAAAAGGGAACGTCCACTCACCAAGAGAAGCTATATGCAACGCCGTGTTTCCCTTTTTGGTGGCGGCGTCGACTACCGCGCCACGGTTAAGAAGTTCTCGGACGATCTCCAAATGTCCATCTTTAGCTGCCAGGTGTAAAGCGTTCAAGCCATTCTGTAATTAATGTATCATCGCATATCTTCCGTTTAGTAGACCTCCGACCGTCAAGATTACGTCAGTTCGAAAAATAAGTTTTACAAGGTTTTCGGACGGAGCACAACAACTAGGTAAAGAGAAGGGTCCGAGAAACGGTTATAGGAGACGAAGGAAATTAGCATGGCGAGCGACACCATAGGGAGGAGCCAACTATTTGCTCGGGAACCGCTAGGAACACGGGCAAACGTTCATCTGGTTGTTCGCAGTTCAATAGACCCTTTTTCTGTGACGCAAAATTCGCAGCTGCCCCGGCCACCCCATTTTAGGGGAGCAGAATGAAAAGCAACCCCCGAATTTCTTAAATATAATATCATGCGCTCCCTTCATTCTATTGTGAGCTATCTCTGGAAGCGTGCCGGTTTTTCTAAATAGTTTCCGCAACAGGAGAAATAGAAAACGTCGCTGCACAAATATTTGCATGTGTTCCTTTGATCAAACTTGCGGTATTTTAAATTAGAATTTACTGAATGCAGAAATGTGGATTTTTGAGACTTTGGGAATATGAGTGTTTAGAAATATGCGTTTTATGAGTTTGAAAATGTGAATGCATTAAAATATGCACTTTCCAAGGTTAAGAATCAGAATAGAAAGAAAAGGTGCAGTTAACGAGTTTTGTTGAAAAAGAAACTTTAGCCTCGGACAAAAATTAATCTGTAGTTTACTTAGGACTGTAGATTAATTTTCGAATCATAGTTTACTTAGGAGTGAGATTCGAAAATATCAGATTACATTTCCGCCGGTTCCGTCAGCGCGCACCGATGGTGATATAAACTGTATATTGTAGATATCGCGATCCATCATCGCCGGTGTCGTTAGAGCACATCGTGCTCTGACTGTTAGTGATCCCAGTATCGCGTATACAATGTAAAACGTGATGAATGACCTCGTCTTTGATTGGTGAAGAAGACCACACCAAAAAGGGTATATAAACAGGCGATTTTCAGTCGCCGGTCTCTTAGTTGAATTTGGTCGCTCAGTCATTTCGTACATATACATTCTCTCAAATAAAAGTAAAAATAAAACTTTTAAGAAAAATGTCATATTCATTTAAGAAATCATCCAAGCCATAATCCCGATAAGTTTAAAAATGTGAGTATATAAAAATATATACTCTATAAGTTAAAGAATATGAATAAACATAAATATGCACTGAATGAGTTAAAAAATGTGAAAACATAAAAATGTGCACTTAACGAGTTTCAGAATGCGAATACATAAAAATCTGCACTTCATATAAGTTTGAGAATGTGAACGTACAAAAATGAGCACTTTATGAGTTTCAGAATATGAAGGTGTACAAACGTACATTTTATGAGTTTAAGAATATGAAGGGGTACAGATATACAGTTTACGAGTTTAAGAATATGAAAGGGTACAAATATACATTTTACGAGTTTAAGAATATGAAGGGGCACAAATATACACTTTATGAGTTTAAGAATATGAAGGGGTCCAAATATAGATTTCACGAGCATAAGAATGCGAATGCATGAAAATGTAGATTTTTACAGTTTCAGACTACCGTAAATCTGTCGGAATGCGTATTTTAGGATTGTGAGAGTATGAACAGAAAAATGTATTTATTATTGTAAGAAGGCAAATTCGTTTAAATTGGATAATTACTCTAACATTCGTTACACATAAGATGCAAATCGCGTAAGATACAAATTACTCCCTGTGAAATTGTTTCTATGAATCGATTAGCGACTCGCTCAAATTTCCCCCATAAAATAATTAACGGTTTGCTCTACAAAGTTTCTCCCATTCTGTGAGAACCGTCGATAACGACATAGGTAATTAAGATAAATATGACAAAGGAATGGAAGGCGGATTCACGAGCTGTAGAAAGTATAGAAACCGTCAGTGGCTAATTAAACATATCGACTTACAGCGTTCGAAGCGTTAATGTCCACTCCCGATTCCAGGAACTCCAAAACCTTTTCCAATTGTCCAGCACGAGCCGCTCTGAGAAACGCTGTGCTGGGATCGCTCTGCAACAATCGAGAAGAAGAGAAAATGTCAGCGGAAAGTTTGCAATCGGATCCGGAGATCGCAATTATTTTTATATGGAGGGGCAACGAGAATCGCATTAAAATAAACATGTAACGGTCGATCGACAGTAAAGAAAAAGCTAGCGGTTAATTGATATCGGCACTCTGCTGTAATACCTTCTTTCATGGTCACGTATCGCTGGCATGCACGATCGTTTCCTGCGGTTGCTTTGTTGCACATCAATCGGATGTGCTCAACCGAGCGAGAAATTTATGAACGCGAGAGGACACTTGTTACAGATTCATTAGTGCGATCGCGAACAACATTCCTGCCGGCGGTCCGGCGGGGACCGTGTACACTCTTTGAAAAATGGAAACCGAGAGTGCAAACACTCCATAAAACTGCGTAAGACTGCTTATGAGCGTAGATGAGCGTGATCGATTCCCATACAAAAGTGCCATGTCTTGCTGTGAAACTCTATTATATTCTTGACTCGATTTTTCTTCTTTTGAAAATGCAGCTGTGTAGCTTTTGCACTAAGAAATGAACGAAAAATAGCAAATTGCCATTCGTATCAAGAATTAAATATCTCAAACACGACTAGGAAGCTCGAGAAAAATCGTTTCCCAACTGAAATCATCGTGCATTGAAAGATCGAAGTCTAATTTTCACGATGATCCTAAAAAATCTAATTAATCTGTGGACTTAAGTGCAAGTAAAAGTAATCTGCGTTAAGTCTAATGAACGATTTTAAGGATCAGGATTTTGTAAATCAACAATTATAAACAATTCGCATAGAGATTCGCAGTTTATTGTATTTACTTATCTCTTATATTTTTATTCGCGAAATAGTAAGTAACGCAGTAATTAAAATTTGATAGAAAATTATGTGCAAGCTAAATCGTAGCAGTCGCTCGAGAATTCTTTTCTCTCTTCACGGATATACCCAAATTAATCAGAAGCTCAATTTTGATCTTTTCTTTGCACAATATTTCGTGAGCGTTGCAAAAACGCGAACGAAGAAGTACAACAAATCCTGTAACAAAATACTGCTGCTGTTTTAAACTAAAAAAATAGCAAAGCTAGTCTAAAAATATAGCTAAAAATAGGATTTATTTGGAATTTCGATTTAGATATATAAATTAAATATAATATATATAGATATACGAATTGAATATGATATATATAGATATATAAATTAAATATAATATATATAGATATATAAATTAAATATAATATGTGTATAAATATATAAACTAAATAATAGTAAATTAGTGGCACCATCAGCGGTTGGACTATTATAATAAATTAATCGAAATAATTTGTTAAATATTAACAGATGGTTTCGCACTTGTTATTTAGGGTGACCCCGGTGTACCGGTTATATTGATCAGACTGCAAGGTGTTAATTACTGCATTCACGGGTCCCAGCCCCGGATGAAACGAATGATCATGCGGCATTGAATGTAATAATCGAACCGGCCCGACCTCCATTGCGTCGCGACGTCCTCGCGTCGATCGAACGCAATTGGGATTAATCTAAAAATGTAGGTGCGCCACGCCATCCCGTTTATTTCGAATCAGACGGATAAGTAATTAATATAGAGCGTGGGGCGCCGGACTGTCTGACGGAATGAGATGTCACAGTGCCTTTCTGTCCTGCGCGGTCTCCTTCACCCTATATTTTTCGATCAATCTCTCTCCTCCTTCCATCACTTTGTCCCACCCACCCCCGCACTCGTACACTCCCAGTGGGAGAGAGGCGATCGCTGTAGACGTAACTACAGGATGTTCCAGGAAACCGGGACGAAATATGACCTCAAGACATGAAACATCAAGATTCTATCGACAAAGGATAATTGATTGACCGTAACAGTTGATATTAATTTTTTCAATGGAAAATGTATTACTCTTTGTCGATTTCTAATCGTCTGACACCAAGAGTAGAATATTTTTATAGATTCCAAGGTCTCTACTAATTTGTCAAACAGAATATATAACTCTCGTCGATTTCTAATTATATGACAACGAAAGTGGAATTTTTTTGAAAGATTTTATGATGAAAAATGTATTAAATGTATTAGTATAGATATATATTATAAGTGTATATTAATATGAAAATATATTAATTTGTCAAACAGAAAATATATCTCTTTCGTCGATTTCTAATTACGTGACACCAAAAGTAGGATTTTTCTTTTCATTTTATGGTCACCATTATTTGTCCAGTAGGAACTGTATTCTCTGAAGTCCAGAGGCAAAATAGAGAACAATTGTAAAAATAAAACTGAAACATACAGAATAAACATGAACGTTTATAGCCGAAATTAGTTATAATTAGATTTAATTGAACGAAACTATTAGATTAGTCGTAAAATGCAGATCTTCATACGAAATAAAATTTGGCAAAGAAAGTTCGTTTTCGACTACTGTATCGCCTAATGCATCTGTCTCAATGCATTTAATTCTAAGAATTATCTGATTAAATAAATCTATATTTAATCCTTCCAATTATTATTTTCTTTAAGCAGAAACTATGGACTTCTGCACTTTCTATGGAACACCCTGTATAAGCCATGACACATACATCCTCGGCCTACACACGAGCCAGCGACAACATAAATACGTCTGGCAAGGATATTGTTGAAGCTCGCTATAACTTCCAAGTATTTTTACGAGTTATAGTCTGCCGTCGTTTTTTTCTTCGCGTAGGATGGACCATTTAAACGGAAACCACGGGATATCTCGTTTTCCAGAGATCGTGAATCGTAATCTGATACATCAGCATCCGACTGACTAATGTTTCATGAAATTGTAAAGTGTAGACGGGCGATCAATAATTTTAATATATAACAAATAACGACAACAAATAACAACAAATAACAATAAATAAACAAATGACAACAAATAACAAATATATATTTGCGGAGTATGTATCTGTTACCAGACGAACTTTGAACTTTATATTAATAAATGAGTGCAACAGCGTTATCGGATTAACAATTGTTTATTGATTGCATAGGGTAAACAGAATCACAGTATCCATTAAAAGTGCATCGACACCGGTGTACTCGTTTAATAATATAAGATTTACAAGTTCCTTAATCTAACTTAATAATAAATGCTTATTTAAACAATCTTGATGAGATTATATTAAAAATTATTGAAATAAAGAAGAAAGATAGAAGTAGAAAAATTCTGGATGTTAATCAATTAACAATTATTTCATTTCTGCAATAATCTTTCTCTTTCTATTGAAATAAATCGTATTTTATAATTTTATACACTTTTGTCTAAAATAACTAGGTTAAATAAAAAATTGTGAAGATATCGGAAGAATCGAAGAATGTCTTTCTAATGTGTGCAAGTTATTAAAATGACTGAAAGAGGGCATTTTATCAGGCTTAAGTTTCTTAGAATTAGCTTAGACAATTTTCATTTTCCATAAAAATCCGCAGTCTACTAATAACGATAAAAATATTTAAACTGCTAAAATATTTAACTAAGGTAATTAGATGAAACATTTTT